AATTTTTTAATCCGGGCCGTGCAAATGGTACCTCTGCAGGTCTTTGATATATATTATATAATAATTTAGAGTAATTATCTATTTTTAAATTTTTTAAAGGAACTGATCTATTCCCTCTTTATTGTATGGTATGTGAGTAGAAGCCCGTAAAATCATAATAAATATAATTAAAGACGAGTAATTTTGTCAATTTCCTAAATTCTGTTATTAGACTTAGGGGCACGTAAACAAGGGGTGTTTTCACACCCCAAGTGCACCAATGATTTCTCGTAAATATCATTTTTAGCTAATAAAAAATATTCCATGACCTCCAACCATTTAAAAGAAAAATTAGTAAACGTTAATAACTTTTTAAAATAACGACTATAATTAAAATTTTTAAAAAAAAAGTATTTTATTTTTATAAAAATCTAATGAAGACTAAGGCCTACAATACTTGAACCTAATGATCTCCAATAAAATTTATGGAAAAAAAATTCATCTAATAGTGCCCTCCCCCCTGCCATACCCCAATTTTATCATTTTAAGCTAATAAATATTTCCACCCTACAAACAAACCTCTTTCTCTCCTCGAAAAATGCATAAATTATGAATTAGAAGTTCTTTTTTTAAATTTAACGATTATAAATTCAAAATTGAAAGAATAAAATGGGTGAAAACGCAAAATAATTTTTTTACAGAAATGCCTACATAATAAGTTGACTTCTAATTCCAAAATAATTTGTAGCGGAAATCAAAGATGAATCTAAATTAATTTTTTAAGTAAAAGTGAAAGAATAAACAGAAATGCCTACATAATAAGTTGACTTCTAATTCCAAAATAATTTGTAGCGGAAATCAAAGATGAATCTAAATTAATTTTTTAAGTTAAGGGACTTGCGCGTACGCAAATCCCAACTACCAGAAATTATGCGCTCGGCTTACCCACATTTGGGGTAATCGTAGCCTTCAACTCCACCAATAGTGCAATGGTGAAGCCTCCAACTAAGGGAACCGCCTTCATGATCACGGTTGCCCTCGCGCCAGGTAAGTGATTATGATTAATTTATTATCGATATATATAAAAAACTATTTCATCTATTATTAAACTGTTTAAAGCTATATACTCTATAAATTTAAAAGAATTCACGTCTCGAAATAATTGTTAATAAAAATTTTTAAATATAAATTTCTACCTTTTTAAACCTTATATTAGTTAAAAAATTATTTTATTATTTCATGAATAAATTAATTATATAATGTTTAAAAAATCTACATAATAATTCCCGCAAGATAGCGTAATTAAGTAAACATTAAATATTATATCTGCAAATTTAATGCTTTTTTTTTTATTTATTTTCAAAAAAAATAATTTAATTTATTTAAAAAAAAACACATGTAAATAAATATATATATTAATTATTATTTATTATTCGGCAAATAAAATATAGTGTTTTATATTTTATTTTTTTTACTAGGTCTATATAGCGAGCTTTCCTTTTTCTGACTGTGACTAGTATATAAAAATTGATCATCTAAGTTAATTTTATTTGAAAAATATAATGTTCAAATTGAACAAGTTAATTAAATTTTAAAGAAAATTATATTATATTATCTTTCCTTTATTTTGTATTTAATTAACAATTTTAAGATATAATAAATTTGAAAATTGCGAGAAAAAAAATTTTAGTAGTCCATGCCTTATGCCGGGTTAACGAAAATTCTATTTTGACCCCCCAATTATTACTATATTTTTAAGTTTTCTATCTTAAGTGGAATTATTTTATTTATTATACATAAATAATACTTTGATCTGATAAACGAGACAAAATAACTAATTTTATACAAAAACAAAAGATCATTCATTATTTTCTAACTATTTCTCAATTATTATTTAAAAACGTTAAAATTCTGGAAATTTATACGGGAGATTTCCAATTGCGGGTTTGAGGAAAGGAAATCTCAACGAGTTGACTAAAAAATTTGCCAGTTTCTCGCTGATGGGGTGGGGGGAGTGGCGGACCTGGCAACTCTTCAGGGTATCAATATACGCGAAAATTCCTAAATTAATTTTAAGTAAAACTGGTTAAATTTAGTGTCCGCACGTAATAACGATTTAATCAAAACTAATGACTTCGAACATATTGCAAATAAAATTTTTAAATTTAAAATTTAAATTATAAATTAAATGCACTTGAAGATTAGTGTAAAAAAAAATTTTATTTCGATAAAGCAAGTGAATAGAAGTCATTTTTTATGTTATTATTTTTTTTAGAATTTTTTATTATGTGAGACTTCATTTGACGTGATTTATAAATTTTTATTAGGCCCAAGTCAAAAATTTCCTCATAAGCAATATTTACAACTTTAATAAGGATACTTTTTCTAACATAATCATTTACTTCTCATGAGTTTCAAAAATTAAAAATATTATCATTATATAGGCTAAAGGAGCGAAGGCTTAGTCAGGACTTTTCAAAGTGGGATGGGGGTGGACATTATTAGTTGGGATTTTCTCCAATAATTATATTTTTATATAAATAATTTATGGCTTTCATTTTTTTATATAAAAGATGGTTTTCTAAAATTTGAATTATAGTCGTTCGTTATTTTTAAAAGTTAATTTTTTTTACTTATTTTTCTATCAAATTCTAATTTTTTGTAATATATTGATAAATTATGGATGATTTGGGGTGTATATGGGAATTATATTAGCTTAAAATAATATTTTTGAGAAAAGGCAAATTTTATCTCCCCCTTCCCCCACTCTTACTCCCTGGATTAGCTATCTTTATTAATATCCAAAATAATCCCTTCAATAAACCGTTTCTACAACTATAGGACTCTTTTTTTCTAAAAATTACGTGCCGTATAAACTAAATAGTAAATATAAAATTCACCTATGAAAAAACATTAGACAGCGCGAATACCCGTCGAACCGCGAATTCGTGCTAACGATAAACGCAGAGTTGCTCCTCATGACATGTGATGCAAAAGAAAATATTAAAAAATAACATGAAATATTTTTTTTATATTATATGATACAGGAGGAGCAGGAGAGGTTTAAGCTTTAATTTGATATAAAATTTATATATCGATTAATCTTGAGAAATTTAAACGGAAAAAAATGTTTATCATAAATATATATATTTTTAACTGAAATTCATCTCTTAAATTTTAATATTTCTCAAAATGAAACGTGTTCCAACGTGAACCATGTTACCCCTAATCGGGATCGTCCCTAAGAGAATATTTATTAAAACCCAGGTCGAGTTGGACCGGAAAATGAAAAATTTCAAACTCGGATCAATCATGACTTTATTTTTCGATTATGATTTAATAAAATTTGTTTTAATTGTACCAACAAACTGGTTGAAAAAACTTAAAAATGATAAACTATTTTTTTGTAAACATCAACTTAATATAAAGATAAATGATAATAAAATTCTTGGGGAATGTTTGTCAAATTTAGTGTTGTTAAATGACTCGATTTGAGCCGATTTTTATAAACGGTAAACTCAATATTTTATCCAGAAAAATATTACACAACTCTAAAAACTTTTTTGGACATCTATTTGCGAAATCCCGAGATTTGGGAAATATTTTTCTGGCTAAAATATTATGCTAACCGTTTTTAAAACTCGTCTCAAATCGAGCTGTATACTAGTCAAATTACAACTTTTTTTATGGCATTTTATTAGTCCAGATTCAAATTCATATAATAAAAATGTATACCAAATATAACATTTATCTTCAGTGGTAAGCAATGCTAGTAGTCTGGCATGGAAAATACTCACAGTAAATCTTGTAACTATCTCATTGACAACCATGTCAAAAAACTTGTCTATACATTTCCATGAGAGAAAGTTAATAAAAATTATTTTATGACTTTAAAGCCCCAACTAACTTTCAAATAATATTTTTTAAAAAATTTTTTCTCTATAATGGAAAATTTTTACCTTAAATTTCATTTTAAAATATATTTATATTTATATAAAATATAATTCTAATTGGCATATATAGGGGCTTAAATATAAAAATACTACCAGGAATAAAATTGCTAGCATTATAATAAATATTATCAGATTGTATATGCAATCAATCACTAATAGAAAGTATGATGTAAACTAAAAGAAATAGAATTATAATTTAGCCAAAATTAGAACATTAAATGGCAAAAAGTTAAGATGTAATAAAATGCAAGCAAATGCAGAGAAATAAAATAGGATTGAATTTGTTATTTAAAATTATATTATTATGTCAGATACAATCATTAAGCATTCTATAGTGGCTTTAAAATAATGTGAATGGTGATTATGTCAAATTAGCTTAAAGGCTTATAAAGGGTGTAAATTTTTTATAACTCAAAATTTTATTAAACAATTAAATATATATGATTTAGTGTCTTTAAAGATTATGGCAGGGAATGAAGCCAAGCTCGAAAAAACATTGGACTAAGCTGTGGAACTTGTGCAAAATGTTTTATTAGGCTAGGTTTTGAAAGATATTTTTTGTGTGGTCTCCAAAATTTTTAAATTTTTATTTGAAACCTTGAATGATGCAAATATATGGTTTTTCCTAAATAAAAAATAAGTTCTAAAATTCATATTAAATTAGACAACCTATATGAAATAATTTGTTAAGGTATGCCTAAATTTTTTAAAAATCTTTACAGACCAACTAAAACAGGCCTCTTTAGTTAGCTATTTTTTCCTTTTTTAAGCTCAATAATAATTATTTTTTAAAAAATCTCTTGAATTTTTAAACCTCTAATAATTATTATAAAAATTGAAATATATCCTATTTTAGTAAAGACAAATAAATACTATTTCTATTTCTAGGGATACTTGATAATATTGCTAAATATAAATGCTTAAATGAAAATTTAAAATTTTTATTATATATTACTTGATTCTACATATAATTTATTGACTAACAAAATTTTAATAATATATTATTTGATTCTACATATAATTTCTTGATTAATTTTTATAATAAACTATTTAAAAACAAAATATTAATTATATTTTGGACTGATTATCTTTTTTTTCTATAGGTATTTCAACATGTTCTCCTTTACCTGATTTCAATTGATGCTTATAGGGTACTTCAAGCATTAGGGTTCCATTAGGTGATAAATGGGATTTTATATTGTCATTATCTACATCTTCTGGAAGTAAATATTCTCTATAAAACTCTCTGTATATAGTTCCTTTTTCGGATTTAATATGATTTTTAGCAGTTATTGAAATACATTTATTATCAATTTTAACTTTGATGTCTTCTGGTTTAAAATTAGCTACATCAAATGAGAGCTTCAGATTTTTATTTCCATCTTTATCAACATAAGTTTGTTCACTCTCAAGTGATTTATTACCAACTGAACTATTAAATAAAGATATGCCTTTTTTATCCTGATTTTGGGTAGGTAAGGAGCTTGATTTGGAATGATTTTCCCAAGAATTCAGTAGTTCTCTATTCCATCTTCTAAATTGATCTTCAAAGCGTTTTAATTCTCTATCCATATCATCAAAAGGATTTCTAGGCCCCCAAAAGAAATTAGAATGTTGAACATATTGTGATGATGGTAAAGACTTATTTCTACAGTTTGGTAATGATAATCTAAATAATCTTAACCAATTTGAATTGACTTTACTGGCAACCATTGAAGAACTTAATTTTTTGTTATGTCATGTGAATTGATGATAAAATTATAAAATTATTTGGTAAGATCTAAAAAAAAATTAACCATCAGTCTTATGACTAAATGACTTGATGTGTTTGATAGCTATTTATATCAGAGATCAATCGTTCTAATATGTTATCTATTACTTGATAATGATAATAGAAAAAATATTTACCATACAATTACTAATTTCAAAAACATATTTATTTTTAAAATGCCAATTCTTGTCTTGTCTTGTCCTTCACTGGGGAAACCAGTGACCCCTACACTTTCTGAAGGGTGGAAGCAGAATACCCCCCCCCCTGAAAAGTACTCCCCCCCTACCCCTTTCGAAAAAATAGAATTATTTTTTGACACGCATAATCAAAAATTATTTTTATTGCATCAATCTTTAATATATAATATAAATAAAATGTAAAAAAATATATACTTTAAAAATAATTTTTTTTAAATTAATAATTTAGATAAATTAGGGGAAGAGAAAGCGAAAAATTTATAATTTCATCAATATTTAATTGTTTAAATAAATTTTTTTCTATTGATAAAGTGGTTAAATTATTGAGAAATGGATCTTTCATGATGGTGCTACGAAATCTTGTTTTAATTAATTTAATTTTACTCATGACCCTTTCGGCAGTACGTGAGGTAGTAGGAATGGTTAATAAATATTAATATAAAATTGTTAAATTAGGGAAAGCAAAAAAATTTAAAAGTAGGCGATAAGGTAAAATAAAAGAATAGTTTGTCCAGTCTGAATCATAAGTCTCAGAATTATCATCATCATCAGAAGAAGTAGCTAAATAATGTATTAGTATAAATATTTTAATAAATAAATTCACAATTCTCAGAATCTACTTTAGATTCTTTAAACTCTAGGTCACGAATAATATTTACTCCCCTGTTTTAGCCATCTTATAAATATTTCGAAACTTCAACATTTTTTCAAAAATTTGATCTGAATTTAAATGATAAAATTCCCATATATCCTCAATATCATCTTTAACAGTTGACTTTTCCGCAATTCCCTTTGGTGTAAAAAATGATGTTTGATTTAAAAATTTCATTAATACATCATTAAATCTTTCATTAAACTGTATAATAATCAAATCAAAAATCAAGTGCAGCATAAAACACTGGTTTTAAAGCTAAAATAAAAATGATAAAAGTATATCTCTCTCATTTTTGGATTGGAATGTTTGAAGTCTAGAACTTTCAAAATGAAAAGTTAGATTTCTCTCCTTCATAAAATCTTGTGCTTTTGAAAAAACATACAAAAATTCAGTGTTAGGAAAAAATTTACAATTGCTTTGTATGATGATAGCCAGCTTCTACAAATATAAAATAAACATTTTAAATCTAAACAAATAAGATTATATTACTGAGTGGTATTTTTGATGCGTATAAATCGTTGATATTTTCTTAGTACATTACTCTAACATGCTTTGGGCACATACAAAAATCTCATCTAATATTCCTAAAACATTTCTGATTTCTTTAATTGATTGGCATTATTGAACAATGATTAAATTTAATCGATGACAATAGCACCAAATAAAAGCTGCTTTTGACGTCTCCGCGCTAATCAAAGCCTGCACTCCATTGATTCTTCCACTCATGTTTGAGGCGCCATCATAGTTTTACCCAACTAGGAATTCGAGGGGAGATTCATGGAGCCAAGTTTGGATATTATATTATTTTTAATATCGAGACCAGTTGTATTTCTTGTACAATATATGTCCATTTTCAATAAATCTTACTAAGCACCTGTTAAATTCAATCTCCTTTTGAATTATTTTTATAATCATATTTTTCATGGTTTCAATGAGAATATTTATGTTATTATATGATAATAGATTTGAATATAATTTAGATTTTAAATCCTTATTTTTTTTCTCCCTTCTTCTTTCTTCATTATCTTGTAAATACATTTTGACAACAGGTTCGGAATCTGCAATTAGTTTATTAAGGTCCATCATATTGCCTTCTTGTTGCCTATTCCCAAGAAGGCTTGGTTACTATATATTAAATTACCTAGACATCGTATTATTATTCTTATAATGGAATGGTTAATATCCACACATTCTTTCTGGGGTATTATAAATTTTAATATGGAAAAAAGCTATTATTACCAAGCTTTTTTTTATATCGTTAAAATTAAGCCCACCATGTCTTTTTCTAATGTGGTCTGTCCATTTATCAACTCTTATATTATGAGATTTGTAATTTTTAATTAAGCATTTGTATTTTTTTGGTTAATATTTTTGGGCATATATTGAAATTGGAAAAATAATTTTATGACAAGAAATCTTGGATAACATCCTAATTTACTAAACATCGACCAAAACTTCCATCAATACATATTAAATTAAATAATAAATGAGGGTGTAGGGTCTTATTATTATATTCATAAACTAGAGATCACTTGATTATGGATAGATGTAGCAAAACAAAAAAAGAATTAAATTTAAAAAAAAAAAAATTTTAATAAAAAAAAAGTACCCCCACACAAATTTTTAGAAGCATGCTTCGGACCCCCTCCCCACCCCACCGTTGTATGGGCCACTGGGGGAAACACACACTTAAATGGCTTCCATCACCCAAAAGAGGACGTATCCAGTGCAGTGAATTTGCAACCACTGTTTGGCAGTAAATTTATCCTACTGTTAGGGCTCTATTAATTTAAGAGAACTTACGATACCTCTTGTGGATAAGCTAGCATCCACTAAATTAATAATAAGAAATTTATATATATATAGTATTATTGTAGATATATATGTATAGAAAAAGAATATTTAATGATAGGCAATAGGAATATAGGGAGTAAAAATATTTTAAAAAAAAAAAATAAAATAAAATAAGTTAAATATCTAGAATGAGAATAGGTAGTTGTATATAGGGAAATAAAGGAAAAATGTATGATTATTTAAACTTTAGTTTTTTATTTAAAAGCATATTTAGACGAAAATATATAGATTTAAGATTTAGTATTTGTTAGGAATATTAAAACGAAAAATAGACGATTTGATTAATGATAGAAGGTAAAGGAAAAAAGGCAGAGTTTAAGTTTAAGATTGGGATCTATCATGTAGAAAGTTATGCTATTAATGTTAAGATTGTTTAGTTGTAAGATAATAAAAAATTAAGACTAATTATGTAATAGGAAAAAGAAATAGTATAAATTGTTATAATATAAAGATAATAAAAAAATATATATTAAGTAATTTGGTTAGGTTTTGTTTGAGAAATAGTTGTTAATAGGTAATATAAGTAAGAAAAAATGAAATTATAAAAAAGATAAAAATGAGTTATTTATGGGGATTGGTGATTAGAAAAAGGGAAAAAAAATATAAATGTAATATACTTGGTTTCTTTTTAATTATGGATTGTGAAAGAATAATATATAAAATACAAAAGAAATGAAAATTTGATGAGGAATATAGAAGTGGTAAAATAATAGTGATTTATAGTAATTTCAAAATAAGTATATAAGTTGAGTGTCTTGTAAAGAAGAATTTTATTGATTTAGTTATGGTAAAGTTAAGGTGAAGATTGATAAGGAAATCTATAAATAAAGATATGAAAAAAAATTGGCCTGATTCTAGAGATAGGAAGAAACATTGTATCATGCATAGTGCTATGTGTTTATGTGTTATGGGATATATAAATAAATTTATTCATATAAGTTTTATTGCTTCTCTACAAACGAAAAAAATGGGACTAGATTGGAAATATCTAAGCAGCAGTTTTTAAATCACCATCCTTTTTCCCAATCTAATTTGAATTCTCCCTCACCCGGTGCACCAAGTAAAATGGTTTACCAGGTAAAATAATAGGTGAGTTTATTATCAAAATAACAAAATATTATAAGTCTAAAATTTAAAAATGTTTTCCATCTATATTAACAAAAAGGTTAAATAAAATATAATAGTAGTTCTAAAATACGCGAATAATATTAATGAGGTAAAGATAATTTAATGAGTCAATGACAATTCTAACAAATTTTAATAATAACTATACCGAAACTCTACAAATAAACAACTGATTGGCAACTTCTAATACATTCCTTACGACCACCAGACCTCAGCACAATACCTACAAATGTAACTGCCAATTGTGTAATAAACTTATTAAAGTAATGAAATTGAGGCTATCGTCATCTCATCGGAACCAGTAAATTAAGTGTCCTCAACAGGGATCCAAACCGAACCTGAACCGAACCGTTAAACCGCTAAAAACCGGTATTTTTTATCGAACCTAAACCGAATCTAAACCTCTAAAAAATTTCTAGCCGAACTTGAACCGAACCGCTAAAATGCCTCTGAACCGGTTCGAGTCTCATTATTTTATGCTTGTAAGTTTTTACTAGTAGTATATTGCAAAAATATTAATTATATTCAAATTGTTTTAAAAATTATTATCAATCACATTTGATTGATAAACGTCAGTCATAATTTTTATAAATTTTAGTATATTGCCATTTTACAATATTTTTTAAATATTTTAAGCTTATAAATTATAATGTTTAGAAAAAAATTAAATCTTATATATAAATTTTTACATATAGTTTTATAAATGACACATCAAATCTGATATCATACTGGCAATGCCAGCTACCCAAGTTAGTGTGGGAGGATGTTTTTCAACAAATAAATTTATATTATCTCCTTATAAATGTAATTTGAGTGATACGAATTTTGAAAATATATTAATTGTGCAGCTTAATAAAAAAAATTTAAGTAATTGTTCATATTAAAATTATGATATATTTATTTGTTATATTTATAAATAATATTATTTTATAATGTGCAATTAATAAAAATGAAGGTTTTTATTTTAATTATGAAATTAGAAAATAATTTTCCTTATACATAATTCTAATGTAGGTTTGAATACAAAAATGTTCAAACCGGTTTTTAGAGGTTTGAACCGAACCGATATTTTTATTTTTAGTGAACCGAACCTGAACCTTGAACCGTTATTTTTATCCGAACCTGAACCTGGACCAAACCGATATTCGTATCGGTTTGGATCCCTGGTCCTCAATCTATACTACCCATTTTATAACTAGCCATTATTCGAACCCTTATGCCTTTTCTGTCCTTGCCCTCAATAAAACTAAACAATCCTTAGTTACCCTTCCCAACTTATTGGCTGATATGCCTATTAGCCCAACAATCTCTACCTCTATTGTTATTAAATTACTTGGTCAGGTGGCTTGCTGGGTTGGCTTGCTAAGTCGATCTGCTAGGTCTGGGTTGGCCTCCTGCGTTGGATTGCAGGTCAGCCAGCTGGGTCGGCCTACGGGGTTGGCTTTTGTGACCATTTTTAAAAATGGCTAATTCAACATTATAGCCATTCGCCAATAAATGTTCAATTTAAATTTTTAGGCTTACATAATATTTTTCTGTATGAAATATTGGATTCGTCGTTTTTAAAAATCGGCTCAAATTGAGCCGTTTAACAACACTAGTTGGCTTGCTGAGTCAGGGTCAACAAAATATTTAGAAAATTGAAATAGTTTGTTTTAATCTGGTTTAAAGTTTTTGATGTTCTAAAATATTTGGTTCTGGTAATAAATTGGCACTACAGATATTGTATTTCATGAGGAAAAAAAGAAAATTTTTACGACTTTGTTTTAAACATAGTTAAAAGTTTATAATACTAGAAAGATGTTCGAAAACCTTTGAGACTAGTAAAAAAATGGACATTGCCATTATATTATACTTTACGAGGAAAAAATAAATGTGAAAATTTAAAAAAAAAAATTTTTAAGCCAAGTTTTTGATACTAGGAAGATGTCCTAAAACTTTTGGGCCTTAGAACTGCCATTATATTTTACCCCACGAGAATAATTAATTATGAAAATTTTCTAAAATTTTTTCTAAGCCTAGTTAAAAGTTTTTAAATACTAAAAAGATGTTCTAAAACCTCTGGGTCTAGTAATAAATTGGCACTGCCATTATATTTTATTCCACGAGTAAAAAATAATTATAAAAATTTTCAAAATTTTGTTTTAAGTCTAGTTAAAAGTTTTTGATACTAAAAAGATGTACGAAAACCTCTTGGTCTAGTAATAAATTGACACTGCCATTATGTTTTATTTCCCGAGGAAAAAAAAATATTTAGATTTTGTTCTAAGCCAGGTTAAAAGTTTTCAATACTAAAAAGATGCTCTAAAACCTCTGGCGGAGAGGGATTCTAATAATAAATTGGCACTGCTATTATATTTTATAAAAATATAAAGTTTGTTTTAAGTCTACTTAAAGTTTTTTATAGTAAAAAGATGTTCTAAAATCTCTGAGTTTAATAATACTGCCATTATATATATTCCACGAGGTAAAAAGAAAATTAAAAAAAACTGTTTTAAGACAAGTTACAAGTTTTTGATACTGAGATGTTCTTAAACATTTGAATTGACATTTATCTTATTATGCATATAAACTAGCATATAAATAATTAAAACAAAACAAGACATTTCTAAATATAATATTTTTTAATACAAAATCTGTTTATTACAGTTTAAATATTTTCCCTGATATAAAAAAATTTTGCGTCGAAAGAATTACAAGTGATATAAATTTTTAATTAATTCATACATATGCCTCAATTGATAATGATTTTTAAGAACCACATAAGGCAATATAAATAAATAGAATATAAGCCAAAGATAAGTCTTAAGACAGAAGTGAAATGTATTATAATTATTAATAATAGATCCATAAAATTACTAAATAATATAATATATAATATAATTTTTTATAAAGTGAGTAATTTTAATTTATTTATCTTAATAAAAGTAAAATATAATTATAAAACTATTGATAAAATTAAATCATAAATTAAAAAAATATTAAAGCACAATACAAACAGTGGAACATTATATGTCGTAGATTTACAGTATATCTAATTATCAAATGAAAATCAAGTAATTTTTACCAATATAGCGAATTATATATTTTACAGAAAACTATAAAATATTGATAAGGACATCAGAAAATATCTTTTAAAGACATTGTGGAATGAATAATATGAAGATTAAATTTTATTATCATTTTTACTTAAAATAAATAGATGTGTTGCTATATTTAATATCAAGAGCATTGATTAGTAAAATTTGTTAAATTATTAAGTGTAATATATTCTCTAACTGACAAATATGTCTGTAAAAGTGGAATTTTATCTAGTATTTTATAACTAATTCTATATAATAGAGTAAAATCAACTATATGTCTACTTACTTTTTATAAATAAATTACTTATAATTGTTTGGAATAAATTATTACCATGCTCTTATATTAAGGTATATACAATACAAGTAATTTATTATATTTTTATTTTTTATAAACTAAATTAAGAGAGTATAAACAATTAATCCAAATCATAAAACTATATGGTGTTTAGAGCTTCCTCTAAGATGACATGATGGAAGCTAGATAACTAATCGAGAAAATTATTGTGAGATATTATATTTCTAAAAGATTATCTTCCATTTTAATGATATATAAACGACTACACAGTTGAACATTATTGCTTTTATAAAATATGCTCTCAGCAGCAATAGTAATAATCTTAAATTACATAGCCACACAAATAATAAATGCTGGTTAATTTGCAGTCATGGCCATGACACCCACGATGTTAACTCATATCAGAATTTATTATGTTAGATAAATTGATAAAACAAAAACACTGAAAATAATTAAAAGAAATTATGCAAATATATTGAAGTCTTGAGTTATTTAAATGGCAAGGATCTATATTAGAAATGAATAAGAACCAGAGTGATATGATAAAAGCAAATTAGATTTTATATATTATTGTCGCACCACCACAAGTTGGTATATTATATCTTAGATCAAAAATATACTCGTAATAAAAATTTAACATAAAACTGTTTGTCAATGAAGAAAAATATAGCTTTCCTAAAAATACGTAAAAAAAGAGAATAATAGATATCTAATTTATTACATCCATTGTGGGATGAATAATATCTAATATTTTTAATTATATTTTTATTTAAATAGATGGCACTAAAAATTTGAATGCAAATTGTTACTTATATTTATTATCAAAAACATTTATTAGTAAAATTTATTAAAATATTAACTGTAATATATTATATAAGTGTCAAATACGTCTGTAAAAGTGACATTTTACCTAATATTTTTAAATATTATATATAATAGAGGATTATAAACTATATTTCTACTTACTTTTTATAAAGAAATCTCCTATACTTAGTTGGACCTTAAAAATATTTTTAGGAAGAGACATGGTAATTAAATTTAAAAATGAATATTAAAGTTGACTATTGATTTTGAACTCGGCTAATTACAATATTAAATTTGTTAATTTTCAATTAATAAATGATTATATTAATTTTAATTTTAATAATAAAAGTCAATTTAGCTTCAACTGTTAATGCTAAATTATAATTAGTGAGTGATATTGATTTCTATTTTTAACATAGAATTTGATTGCAGGTTGACATAGTGAAAATATAATTTATATGTATTAATCTAATCTAATAATTAAAATAGTATTTATTTAATAAAAGTTTAGATAGTCTCCTTATTAATTATTAAATAATGAAATCAAATCTATATTTTACAATAGAATTATAAAAGAAATCATTCAGGGGGCAATCAAAAAAAATTTATTTTTAGTTCAAGGGGATATTTAGGTACCATTAAAAAAAATTCTTTTGCTTCAGGGGGCTATTCAAATTTTTAAGGGGGCTCAAGCCCCTGCGCCCTTCTCCCTAGTGACGCCACTGATAAATTGATATTATCAGAGAAAATGATTTATGAAAATTTTTAAAATTTTGTTTTAAGACTAGTTGAAAGTTTATTATATTAGAATAGTGTTCTATACCTTACGTGATACGTGATATGTAGCGCTTCTGCCCTCTAACGTTGAAGGTTCAACAGAGCTACGCTAGGTTTTCCTCATTTTCATATAATTGGAATAATTTAATTTGGATATAAAAGTAAAAATATGAGGAACCCTCTACACGTTTGTGGGCAAGCCGCACGTACTTGTTGGCACAACATTCCAAAAAATATTGCTTAAACCTCTATAGGCTTATTAAAAAGGAGTGGGGCAAAAAAAGAGCCTATACCCGAGAACTACAGTATAATTTAATTACTTTAAAAGTGGGTGGTGGCTGATTTTAAGTTTAATTTCTTTAGTGTATGTTCATGCTCAATATCACTAAATTTATTATATTTAATTTTTACAAGTCAGTCAAAAATGTCAATATCACTAAATTTATTATATTTAATTTTTACACGTCATTCAAAAATGTAAATATCATTAAATTTATTATATTTAATTTTTACAAGTCAGTTAAAAATGTCAATATCATTAAATAATATATTATTAAATCTATGCACGTCAATCGTAAATGTCAATATCACTAAATAAATGAGTAATTTTTATACGGAGTAAAAATAGTATGTTGCACCAGATCTCTGCTAGGATCGACGATCTCAATGAGGGATACTACCTACGTAAGAGGTTGGCCCTAAGCATAATAAAGTGCACAGAGTTATACCTTCAATGACCGAAACACCCTGATTGAACATCATGTGCTTGGCATGGGCTTCTACTATTTTGCTCCCAATTATAACGTTGGCGCTAATAAGAAACTTGGATCTTAAGTGATAAAAGTCAGCAAAAATTAATGACAAAAACAAAAATAAAGATATGCAGAAGTTGAGTGAGAGGATTAGTTGCCACCAAAGAAAAGCCAATGCTATTTTTTAGATGAAGAATTCACAATTTTCGTTTACTTAAATTATTAAATTATATAGACTTTCAATTAAATAAATATAATACCATTTTATAATTATAATCTATATTTAAATTATTATTAGTGATCCATATTTAAATTATTTCTAAAGCGATAATAATAATACAAATTGTATCTATATCTAAAAAAAATATGTTCATTTGCGTGGTAATCAATGAAATTTAAAATTCATTTAATACATTTAAATGGATGATGATCTATCCTCTCAAGAAAATGATAATGATAACATTAACATATCAACATTTCAATATTTGAATTCTCCTAAAGCCAATAGCTTTTACAGAAAAGATGAAGATAATACTGAAAGCCTCACCACATTTAAAACTTGTACAAGTACACCCTCAGCTAATCAATATATAAAAAATCTGCATTATAAATCAATACTTAAAGACAAAACTCTTAAATCAACACCATTTTATCATAAGGCCTCCGATTTTTTTAAATACAAAAATATCTCTAAATCTGATCAGCATGATATGACTAAAAATCTCAAATCATTAAATCAACATTATGATTATGATGAATCAATAAATAAATCTACATCCTCTTCAAATAATTCAGAAGACAATAACAGCTATTTTAATAATGAAAATCTTGATTGGAATAATTGCTCCAACTCTTTTCTTATATCTTATGTAAAAAAAGATAAAGAAAATAATGATATAAAACATTCCCATATCCATGATAACTCTATGGAAAATCAAGCAACTGCCTCAAAATTTTTTACCATGCCCAATAATTCTACTAATGTGAATAATTGTAATATTAATAAAAATATTAATTATAAAATAACAAATATTGATATGCCTTTTTCAATTAATGGTAATTAAAAATATTAAATTTATATTAATTCTCTTTGTATCCATTGTTTAATTTCAACTTGATAATTCATTTGAGGTCTAAACATTTATTATAATTTTTATCTGTTTATTATTTAATTAATTTTTTAGATAATGAAAACAAACAACCTGGTACTGGTACATATAAATCTGAAAAAATAACTTTATTAGTTGATGAAACACGATTTATTGTTGACACATCAATATTTTATAAGCATAGAAACACTATGCTAGGAAGGTTATATTTTGTAAAAAATATAATTTAAAATATATTTAAAGAATGTTTGGAGCTTTCAACCTTATTGAAAATAATCCATATGTAAAACCTAATCTCAGGGGTGAATTTGAAGTTGGAGAAGGTATATCTTCCACACTATTCAAGGCAATTTTGGTATGTAATATTGTATTAATTAGCAATATCATTCAAGAGGAACTCAAATTTTTTTTGAATCTTGAATAATATTTTTATTAGGCAAGAATTTCCCTTTTTTTTAAAACAAATTTTATATAGTGAGACCAGGGTAAAGTGATTGTGGCGGGGTAAAAATGTTAAAGAGATTTTAGCACAAATACCTTAAATTTGAATGTTTCCCATGTTTATCTTTTGAATAATGTTCCTGGTTAATTATGTTTTGTTATAAAACCATTTTTTCCCAAATTATAATAGTACCTTTTAGTATATTTTTTTGAAATATTAGCAATACTCCATAAAAAATGATAATTGAGCAAAGAGGAACCATAAATTTGTATTATTTGTGATTAAAAATTTAAAAAATAGTTGCTAAGGTAAAGGGCACAGCCAAAAGATTATAATTTTGATTTTTAATAAATAAATTTCAAAACTTTTAGTATTATGTCCAATCAAATAACAAAGTTTGTTCCATTTATTTAGACACTTTTCCCTGGTGCTTAGTCATTTTATTCAGGATACAGGTGAATATTTTGGTAATAAATAATTATAAAACCTAAATAATAGGTAGAGATGAGGGTTAGTTATAAACCCAATTTGGTTTTTAGATTTTAGACAAAATAATATTATTTAAGCCTTGAGATTTGGCAAATAAAGGGCCAAACTTTTTTCATATCTATGAGCAAAATCTTCAGGCTTACATTATATTATTTTTATGGCTGTGCTGATCCACATATTTTTCACTAATCCGATCCGATATTGCTTCAAAACCGATCCGATACCGATCCGATATTCATACTGATTTTTCACCATCCCCCATTGAACCAAATGTAATTAAGAAATCAATATTTTTTATGCAAAAAGTCGAATTATGCATTTAATTTAATTTTTTTATTTCTACAATTAAGACTAATTAAAAAAAATTAATATTATACCCATTTTATGTTGGTATGAATTATAAAATTGTAATATTTAGTATATTAGATTTTTTTATATATATGAGAGCCTCTAGATTTTCTGGCAATAAGCTTCTATGATATGGACTAGAGATCTGCATTGGGCGGGTTTTTAGACCATAAGCCCGCCCACCCAATGTTTTAAAAAATTTAACTCACTCGCCCATAGTTTTCAAAAAAATATACCCGCCCATTAGTATAAAATTCCTTATCCGCCCACCATTTTTTCTAAATTTTTTTTAACTTAAGCCCACTATTATAAAATTTAATTATGGCCATTCTTTCAATTTTTTAAGCGTCTAAAAAAATTCTTAATCCGCCCACCCACCCGCCCATAGTTTAAATTTTTTTTTAACCCGCACTCTCGCCTTCCCATTCTTAAAAATTTTTTTGCATGCCCATCCGCCTGCCCATCCGAAACCCCACCCAATGCAGACCTCTATATGGACTATCTATATCCCCTGCCGTACTGAAGGCAGAATTTCGCAGATAACGCATTTTGCAAAATTTTTGTAAAATATTTCCATAATTCAGACACCATATTTAAAAAAATTCTTTTATTTAAAGTAAATAATAAAATTGGCGTTATTATTTAAAAAGGTATAAAATAAATAAAATTCCTTTCTATTTATATAAAAAAACTTTTAATATTATAAATCTATTTTAAAAAATGAAATAAAATTTAGAGTATTGTGCATTTGCATTGCATTGTTTAAAAAAAATTATTTAGAGAATATTATAATAATTTAAAATAAATATACATCATAACATAAAATAACGAAAAAAAAAGTAAAAAGGTCGGATCGGGGTTTTTACAGGTTCCGATATTTAATATCGTCCCGACCCTAATTATTTTGACTAAATATGCTCTTCTATGAAAGGCAGAAAAACAGAAGCAAAAAAACACAAATATATAATGAATATTCAAAAAAGTTTTTTTTTATCATTTAGGATTATTACAAAAAGGGGATCATAACATGTCCACCAGGGATTGGTATAGCAGAGTTAAAAGAGGCTTGCGACTATTTACTTGTTCCATTTGATCCTCAAACCATTCGATGTTCTGATCTAGGGTCTTTCCTGCACGAGATATCCAATGATGGATCAAGGTCCAAATTTAAGACGTACCTTGAAAAATTGATCCTCCCAGTATTGGTCATAAGTGCGCAGGTTTGTTATTTTTTTCTTTTCAACAAATTGTAATTTTTTTTTATAAGATATTAAATTCTATCGTTTTTATATCCTGGTCTCGGTGTGCTGTCAATTCCTAAGTTGACAGCACACAGCTCTATGTAGAATCGAAACAGTTAACGATACATTTCAATGTAACGGAGATCGATGCAAATTTGAGAATAGGCCATTGACACCGATAATAATGCATTTTTTTCTAAATGTATTCAAATCCGATATGTAAAATTATCCATACAGTTTCGATTGATAGTTTCCTTAACTATCACTTTCGATTTTCTTCTCCCTTTCTTTTATCGTAGTTCTGAATCTGATCTCATTCAATCTTAAAATATGATGGAGCATGGTAGCTAATGTTGTTAAACGGTGCGATTTTTAAAATGGTTAACCCAATATTTAAGCCAAAAAATATTACACGAGCCTAGCCTAGAGATTGCTTATAAATCCGAAAGGCTTAGGCCCCTGTAAATAAAATCTCGAGGCTTGCATAATATTATTTTGCCTAAAATCTTAATTTAAACTGGGGATAAATCGAGCCATTTAACAACATTAATGGTAGCCTTTACTTAATCACACACCATCATATAGATTTTCGACTACCTTAGAGTTAAATATCAAAAATTACATTAATCATGAAATCATTTTCGTCATATGAAGAAGCATCATTCGAAAACTCGAAAAAGGATTTAATTTAGACAATTATAATGGCAGAATAAATAAATGATTAAAGACATCAATGAAAGTTTACATTTATTGGCTTATATAATTTGTTTTGAATACAAAAATACAGAAAAAATTTTTTCCAATTATTTTTAATATTTTAGCAATGATACATCTTTTTTAATTCGTCATGAGTAATCGAAACTTTTTTATGGGGAACATAAGAAATGGTATTATTTGTAAAATAGCTCGAATTGATTAATTTAACTTATCGAATAATCAATTTAACTTATCGAATAATCAATTTAAATATTTTATTTAAAAAATGGAGAATTTAAAAGGTATGGAAATGTATTGGGGACAAATCTACTATGTATTTAATTTCAAAAGTATCGCCCATATCATTTTGATACACAAATGTATCGAATGCTTATCACTATACTTTAACAATTCTGTTATCGAATATCACTTAATTTCTTGTTAGTTTTATTGAATAGATTTCGAGTTCTTTAATCGAAATTATGAATTCAATACCTAAAACCAGGGTTTTGAATCAAACCTGACCCAGGCTCAAGTTAACTTTTTATTCCCTTTAACTATACCACAACTCTGGTCCCTGAACACTCAAACTCTCACGGACTCAAGATTTAAAAAAAAAGGATGTAGGCATCTCGGAGATGGATAACCTTAAATTTTTATATCACTCCCAAAATTGGTAGTCTATTTTTTAATATTGATTTTTAGTTAAGCTTAAGGTCATCTCGAGGAAAGGAATGTAGAATTACAAAGAATTAAAAATAAATAATAATTTAATATTATTGTCGCGATTTTCGGTCAGTGACACTATTAACGACTAAGAAAAAGTTATTTAGGAAATATCGATGCGATATAAACTTAAATTGGCGCAAAATAATTTCCCATGGTTTGAATAAGGATTCGCTTACCATCGTGATTTGTAATCTTTCAATTTTAAATCACTTCTCAGAGCGATTTTTTTTTAAAAACCCTCATTTTACCGGAACAGAAATTCTAGCTCGTATATAGGGCTCCTGCTTACCCCTGTAAATTTAAGAAAACTTGCCTTGAAGTTTTTAATTGTTGATTTTTATATTACCTATTTTTTGAAATTCAAAATCGTTTTAGGTCACTCCCATACCCGTTTTTTTTTAAATTTCCAAACATAATAATTTATAAGAATTTATCATTTTTTTGTATATTATATTTTTTTTAGGCGCAACTCAGATGCCATTTAATTATACGACTAAATAGTGGCACATTTATATTACGAAAAATTTATTTGACAAATTATTATCCTTTGTGTGGAACTTAAGAAAAAAAATTGCTGGAAACATATCTAATATTGAGACCTAATTGAGCTATTGCGTTTCGTTATGCAAAGTGCAAACAATGCGTTTCCAATGATATGCAAATTGTTCACAATTTATAAACATTAATAAAAACGCAAGCTGATTTTCTTTTTTTTTCAAAAATGCTCAATTAAACCGCTTGGAAAAAACGAATTGTTTGGATATACCCCCAGATTTCAAGAAAAAAAAAATAAGAGAAAACGAAATTTCTGAGCCAAATAATGTTTTGTTTAAAGACCGGTACTTGGAAAATGGAACCAATATTTTGCTTCCATTTCCATTTCTTCAGGGTTCTGACGAAATCCTGCGAAAACCTTCTAACTCCATTCCAAAATCCCTGCTTTAAATATTTTTCTCTAATATTTTTGATTTGTTTATTTGGCATTATTGGTTCGTTTTAATATCGATTTACGTTTCACTTTATAAAAGAAATTTTTTAATCAATATTCCCGCGACACACGATATTATAGTATTAATTTATATTTAAAAAATTGTTTATTTTTATTATCTTAAAATTAGATTATCGATAAATATTGAAGGCCGATTTATTTTAAATGAAATTTGCGGATAAAATTTAATTATCTTTTCTTTCTGGATCCCAAATTTTAATTCAATTATTTATAAGATTCTAGTTTTATTTTTGGAAGAGCGTTTTATATAATATTTAAATAATTTATATTATAATCTGCATTATGGAAGGGGGGGGGGTTATAATAATAAAGAGAAAGGGAATTCAAATTTAGCACCTTTGGAAAAATATATTTAATATTTGGCTAGAATTTGGAAAGGGTCTTAAAAATACAAAATTGCGGGTTAGTTTAGTTTTCCGGTAGCCCACCTCGCAATACACCCCTTAGTCTACCAAAAATAATAATGATGTTGATAAATATATGGTCGAGAAACCTATATCTGAAAAGGATGCAAATTATATGAGCAGAGACGGATAATAATTGGAAACCATACTTTCAGGGAATTTTTTTTCCACCAAATTTCCGACCCCATGAACATTATAATAATTTTACATTCATTTTTGTATGCTTCGCCACTAACTCTGAGCGCATGGTAAAGCAGAGATGATTTGCATATATTTCTTGTCGTGTATATACCTATAATTGAGGACACCTATAGAGATATTTTGGTTTTAAAAATGGTGGATGTTGTATAAATTTTTAAAGTTTTATAATTTAGATATCAAAATTTTTTTTTTTTAAATTATAAAAAAGTTACCAGTTAGGTGAGTATAATATGGTTATTTTTATGGTTTTTAAGAGTGTCACATGTTGTGGAAATTTAAAAATATACATCTTTTTGTTTATCAAAGTTTGATATTTATTTTAAGTTAAGTGCACTTTTTTATAATAAGTTTTTTTTATTGACTTTAAATGTCCGGTCTATAATTTAGTTTTATTTAATTTTTATTTTTAATTTTTCCAAGACGAAATTTTAGACAATCTTAAGGAAGTATAGTTAGACGATTTTTTAAAAATTTATCATTGGAATGAGGATTTTCATCTTATTATTAAGAATTAAGATTTTATTTGATAAAAATTACTATTTTATCATTATTTTTTAAGGTCTATGTAAATGAACTCTTAAGAATGTGACCTTTATTTTTTTTTATGTCCACTAAATTTTACCTAATATTAAATTATAATTATTAAAGTTTTCAATGAAATTTTATTAAAGAATTTTAAATTTTGATTATATGTTATATTAGATTTATTTTTTTTACCGTTGGTTAAACTAAACTTTTCTCGAGGAAGGTTTTGGTTGAAAATATTTTATAATCCATGACATTTAAAATATTAAAATGAGAAATTTGAAATGCTTTCACATGATTGATTGATCGATTACCAAATCAAAAAGAAAACTTTCGAATTTATGTGGTGATTACTTAAAAGGTCTCAGCTAATTCAGATCAATCTACGGGCGCGTGCCGGAGAAAATCCGTTAACCGTAAGGCGTTTTAATGTACATCAGTTTGTTTCAAATTTGGTCGCTGCTAATTTTAAGAAAAAAACTCCGAGGAAATGATAGCAACTAAAAATATCATCCAATCTAAAAATAAGTTAATATTATTTTAACGCTATTAAATTTTTGTGTAAACTCATTTTTATCTAATGTGGGTGGGACGATGAAGGTCAAAGACTAAACATGGTTTTTAAACTAAAATTCACCTTCGAGAGTTTCGAAGAAAGCAAAAATAAATTAAATCACTCCTCACCCAATGCATGGCGGATTTTCTTCGTTCCGTGTTCCGTAGACTAGAGGCCCGAAAGCCGATAAAAGTTTTTGGGCCAGATCGGTAAGCCCGATCAAAAATTTCGACATTGCTAACTGTCCTCTATTATAGATTTACGCCGATTCTTATGGTTTACTCAAATATAATATGGTCAAAAAAATTAATACTCAGAACTGTTGGGGGGTGGAGTAGCCGTTATTTATTTCCTTTGTCTTCGACCGCAGATCTGGACGACTTATTCTGCAATCATAGTTAGCGCGAATTCGCAGCTAATTATACAAAATACGCTGTATTTTTATATTCTCCCCGATTTCGCGCAATCTGTGAGTGAAGGGTTACTCTGTATTTACTTAGCACGAATTAGCGGCGAAGGATACAAAATATTAGGGATGTACCGATATTTTATATCGGATCGGGCCGATATTTCGCTCATTTTAAAATATCGGTTATCGGCAAATATTATAAAATTTTCCGATCCGATATAAAATGGCGCTTTTAACAAAATTTAAAAAAAATATATCTAAAAAAACCATTTATTTTTATAAATATAATCGAAATAAATTTTTATGTTTAATTTTTTTAATAGAAATAATTAGTTAATAAACATTCTGCAATATAGTTATTTTTTTTCGCATTCTGTTTAAAAAAGTGTTCATTAATCTCTTCAGTATCTGTTTTTAGTGATGCTAGTGATATTAACAGTCCCCATCACCGCCGACATATCTCTGATATAAAAATAAATCTTCGATATATTAATTTTAAATATTAATTTCAAATTTCATAATATATTTTTTTATTACTAATTATGTAAATAGATTAATGTTATTACTTATTATATAAATAATAGCAATTGAATTGAATATAAACTATAACTGGCCATTATAATATATTTAAATGACATATGTTATGGTATAGTAAAATTATAGATGTTGTACTAATAAAAAGTATATTAAAAATTAAAACCGGTATCTTTGCAGAATACAAAATTAGATATGATATCGGATCGGTTATCGGCAGATATCAATTTAATATCTGAAATATCGGATCGGATCGGCCTCCAAAAAGTGGTATCGGTACACCCTTACAAAATATGCTTTATTTTTGTGTAATTTTATATAATTCAATGCAGGGTTAAATATCAAATTATCATCTATTTTAAATCATATTCATATACAATTACTAATTATTTTAATCTTGATTTATTTTACTAACTTACCTCATTCATCAATGAATTTAAGAATTTAGTGTTGTTAAACCGCTCGATTTGAACCTATTTTTTTTTAAAATAAGACTAACTCAAGATTTTAGCCGATATATCGCGCGCGCCTGGCTATTTTTCTCATAGGTGGCAGAAAGATTTGGACATCTATTAACGAATTCTCGAGATATGAGTAATATTATGGCTAAAATCTCTAGGCCATTTTGAAAAATTGGCTAAATTGATCCGTTTAACAACACTAGATAGCCATTTTACAAAAAGAAAATTTAAAATGAGAGATCGCCATTTTAAAAAACGAAAATTTAGCATATTCTAATATTCAATTTTGTATAATGAAGTCCTTCTTTCAATATACATTATTTATAACTTTATAAATTTTTTGTTTAATTATAATAGGTTATAGTAATTAAATTATTGGCCGACTTACTTTTAATAAACATTAATCGAAAAATTAGCATTTTTGAAAAAAATATTTAATAACGTATAAATAAGACGAAGAAACTGTAATTATGTTGAAATCTTATATTATAAGTAGGCCTACAAAAAAACGAATCGAATCGAATACTATTATTCATTTTACAGATGTTTAAAGATGACACTTTTAAGGATTCTCTAAACTAATTGTCATTACAATATAAAAATTTATTGAAAATAAACGAAATAAAACCCAATGATTTCATATAACGTTAACCAAACAAATTGACCAAAATATCCGATTTTTAGCATTAGAATTGGTTATAAAAAATATTTAACTATTTCTTCAATCTAATATTAAAATTTTATTAAAATTTTCTAAAAATGTACAATAATCTCATTTTATAAAATAAGAAAATAATACACAAAAATATTAAATTATAGTAAATCCGAATTTGATAATATCCAATTTTTTAAGCAAAAAGTCTTTCTAATAGTTTCCTTCTTTAAAGACATTCTATTTTTCATTATCATATTTGTTCCTATTGAGAACAACCGCTCACATGAAGCCGAAGATCCCTGAATTGACAATACATCAGTTGCCATTTTCGACAACACAGGAAAACGATCCCCATGCAATCTCCACCATTCTAAGGGACTCTTATTTGAACTGATTCTTATTTCGTTAAGATATGTCTCCAACTCACATACTGATGCGATGTTATTTTGTTTAAAAATTCTATCCATGTTCGTATTGGGTTAACTGATGTTGATTTGATATTATATTTTGTAATCATTATATACATCTTTAAATTTTTCTAATAGATTTGTCGTGCCTATGTTATATGTAGTTGGTAGTTGCTCAAAAAATTGCATTTTTAGTCTAGGATCCAGTATTGTTGATATTATAGTGTGAATATTTGTTAAGTTATAATAAGTTTCTATTTTCTCAATCGCACTGATAGATATTTGCGAATAATTACGAATATTTATATATAAATAATTTCGAATAATACGAATAATTTTTCGAATCGAATAATTGTGTTATTCGTATTCGTAAAATACGAATCGAATTGAATTGAATCGAATCGAATATCAAATAACAAATAATTCGTTTTAGGCCTAATTATAAGCATAATGAAACGTCGTGTAAACTACTATATTTACAATTGGTAACGGCCTCATATTAACAATCCATTTTTTAAAAACATTGATTTTTAATTTGGCTTTTGCAAACATGTATTTGATACCAGCACGGCCTGCTCCGAATTGTCCCGGCCCGTAAATTATTTTGCTTAAGGCTGCTCATTTATGAAGGAGGGATTCTTAATTCGTATTATTTAAGCCTTTAAAAAATTAGGGACCCGCTCGGCCCGAATATTTTTTAGCCCAATTCGCGGGCCAGGCCATGCAATATGGAACACAGTTTCATCTATCTGTTCCTGTGAAAGAGATATATGTTAAAACTTACCAATTTTTATTTTGAATGACCTGGTTATAGGCAATATGAAGTTCGAGCACAAGCTTGACCAAAAAAAATTCATTTTGCTAAATAAAACCAAACTGATAACATTGGGTTGCTGGAGCAGCCATATATTTAATTTCTCGGGTAGGTAAAGGGAAGTATTGATCTCAGAACTTTACCGTCAAAATACTAAAATGGTCCGATGTTTAAAAAAAATATTTATATCTAGGCTCATCTTGATTTAACAACATTACCGTTTTGGTAGGTTTTAACATTAATCGTAAAATAAGATTGGGATTATAATTGTATAACTATCCTACTTTTCGGTGTTATATTCTATACAATGATATAATAAATATAATACTACCTAAACAGATGATTCGATTCATACATTTAAATAAATGCATAAAAATGCAAATCAGCTGGTAATATAACATTTTTGGGTTGCCACATAAATAATTTACATAAAATTTAATGACTTTTTTTTAAAAAAAAATCCGAGCCTCATTTATATAAAAAAATTTTATATCGATAACTAAAATGGCATATGAACAGCTGCTTTGTATTTACGAAGCTTCAAAATGCCATTTAAAAAATGAATCATTAGTTTAGGTGAGTATCATATGTCACTGGTTCTCTTAGTCATTCAATAAAAGCTATTATAAATTAATCAATTATTTGACTTTTATGAGCTCTAATAAAGCTAATCAATCACAATTTATAATTGCTTATATTATTAACAGTTAATTTTACTCTTTGCTACATTCATATAAATATTATCAAGTTCTGATGGACTTTTTAAAATAATTGTACCGATATATATTCTTTTTTGCTTTTATAAACACTTTATAAGAATGGGGAAAGGGAATGTCACGTGGTTGTGTTGATGGAGAAGGATGAGATAGTGTGGGACGCCGAACATCCGCCTCAGACCGGCGAGGAATATTGCCACGTCATTTATAGCAAGTCACTACACCGGTTCTTACAATACGTTGAAAACCGAGAGATGGCTAAGAGGGTCATGAAAGATCGGGGCTTAAAGAACATCAAGATTGGTATCGAAGGTATTATTTAATTTACTCATTTATGACATGAAAAAATATTACAATCATTTTGCTTAAATAAATTGTTGTCTGCATTCTATCTTTTATTATACTTTTTTAAAATTTTTTTTGATTAAAAAAATGAAATAATTTAAGTATATTAAAAATGTTTATTATCATTAGATTTTCCACATCCGGGTCGTAAAAAATTTGGCCATTTTTTCAAATCATTTAAACATTCATTCGCGCCTCATTTTTTATTTCCATTTCAAACAAAATCAAATTTAACCAAAACTATTTTGCAACGTTTAATTAAAATATATATCGATTTTTTAAGAAGAAAAAAATATATTATTTAAAATAATTTATTCAATTTAAACAAAAAAATTATGGTATTTATAATTGTTGTAAATTATTCTATTCATAAATCCATTTTTGCACCATTTTATTTATTTTTATCAATAAGGCCTATTTCCTTAAAGTAGTTGCATAATATTTTATGCAACATTTTTGTAAAAACGATGAATTATTAACTTTTTAAAATATTTTAAAGGAAATTTTTTAGTTATTAAAATTAACATTTTAAAATTTTATTCCTTAATAGCCGTTTTTTAACTAGTTTACGAATCGTAGAAATTAAGTCTTTTCTTACCTTTCTTATTTTTTTTAAAAAAATACCTAAAAATGAAATATGATTGTTTGAATTTTTTTAAAGAGAACCCCTAGATGATTGTGGTCCAACTCAAAGAAATTGTGTTACAACCACTGATTTATTTAAATTTATATTCGTCTATCTTTATAATCATACGACCTATCAGATTCAATAAAAATGTTTATATTTTATTATAAACCATATTATAGTATATCTGAAACCTAATACTCAAACATTTTATGAACTCTAATCCATATCTCCTTTTAATCCATCCAATTAAAAAAAATATCTTTCATTTGAACATCTTTTAATTTCCAAGTTTAATTAGCTAGTCGTCATTTCTTTTACTGACTACTATAAAATGTAAAATTATTTTAATTCTTCATAAATCTATATTATGGTATGAAGGTTTTCCCACTTGCATGGAGAAGATTAAAAAGCGTAAGGGTGGCAAAGAAGAAGTCATATACCACTACATTCAGCGCCCATTTTTACGACTCTCCTGGCAAAAGGAGGAAGCCCGGTCTCGCCATGTCGATTTTCAATGCGTTACTACGCTCAAAAAGTATCCCTCCACGCGCCAGGACGCATCAACCTCTGGTATATTAATATAGAATATTCATGATATAGCAACTCAAAATATCTCCAGATATATAACTCATGTTAAGCAATGCTGTATTAATTAACAAAATTATTTCTCAAAATACGAATATGGTCCATTTAAATGAGATATTTATCGCACCGATCACACCTGTATTGTATTTTTTTTAACACATCATATAAAAATTTTTACTCAGATTGATGAGATGCACAGATTCACACATGTTCAAGTTAGAATTAGAAAGACGTAAAAATGAGTTTATTAGAAAAGAACTTGATATCTCTTTTAAGTCTATATTTCTTAAAATATTTCCTAATACAGGTTCCGCATCTGGTTCAAACAATGTTATAGCGGGTGCACAGTTAATAGCAGCGGCAGCCGACACCGAATCAGATCGGGGATTGGTAATGAACTAATTTAATTTATTGTTGTAAATTTATCATTGTTATTCCTGTTAATTATTTTTACGGGAAAAGTGCATTAAATACCTTCAACAAATGATCATTCGATCAGGAAGCGTTCTAATAGGGGGCTAGGTTATTTTTTTAAATAGAATTGATGTATTATTATTTTAGCCTATAAGTTACTGCCGAATCTATATAAGGAATACGTTTTTCCATAAATACTTTGTTAAATGATATATATTAGATGAATAACTAAACGCAAGGTTTCCAAGCCTTAAATTAATTATTATATCGAATATTATTTTATAAAACTTCCCCTTCTCCCAACTATTATTTACATCTATACATTTACCTATGTTAATCCTCGGACAAATTGTGAATGTTAAAATTTCACATGCCTTATAAATTTGAAATTTAAAGATTTTTGATCTATTCATATTTTTAAACTTACGTACATCAATTAAATGCTAATATATTTTGTTTTATATTTTAATACCAATATGAATACCCATCTCTAAAATTTTCCCTTCTAATGTACGGTTTAACAAATCTATATAAATATTAGGTCCAAATTGCTGTCGACGGAGTGGGTTGCCCTTTAAGAGAAATTGATGGCTTAGACATTCCCCGTTCTTCGAATATAGATCTCGTTAACAATGATTCCACAAACACCGAATCATTTTTCGAAAATGACGCCAACATAACAAATGCTCCCATATCTTTGCCCAACGATCTATCCGTTGTTCTCGATCGAATTACAATCAATAATAATAATAGAAGAAATGAAGAGAATCTATGCGAGAATTCCAATGACGTAACCACAGAGGAAGCCCAAAATTTAAATAGTGAAATTAACGAATATCCACCTCGCACTAACGAGGATCATGAATTTTAAAAATCGAATACCTTAATATTTTTTTACTAATTTATATTTAATTATATTGAAATATTACTTATTTATTATATGACATTTAATCCTTTTTTTATATTCGTTGTATTTAAATAATGCTTTTAATATTTAAAATTCTTTTAACATGTTATAAAGGTAAATAAAAGGTTTATTTTATATTATTTAATACTTTATTGTATGTGTTGTTTAAAAAATAATTAGTTAAACATCTTAATAACAAAATAAATAGATATAACTTTATACTGAATCCTCCCTGAAACTTTGCAAAGTCCCTCGCGCTAAATGCCAGCAAAATGTCCTAAACAAAATTCCCTTTTATAAAAATCTAATTATAAATAGTGATCTAATTTATATCTGATTATATTTAACAAAAAATACATATATTTTTTGATCATTATAGAAAAGACGTTTAAGACAAGGTGACGTGCCAATTTTTCAAAAAAATGAGGATGATTCGACTAAATATAACATAGTATCAATGTTCGATTTTAGAACTTTTTTCTATAATATTTGGAATGATACCTAGATTCTGAACATGTTCCTAAGTATCCAAACAAAGGAAGAGGATAGAAAGGATTTCAGGAAGAAAAAAATTCCTAAAAACTATTAAATTTTTTTTATTTAAAGGAATTGAATATTATTATATTAACGTTGTTAAATTTTAATAATAGTCAAATGTCATAGAAAAGTTTTTTTTAAGTTAAAAATGAAGAATTTTTTATTCACTTCGTTTTTGTTTGTTATCATTAGTGCAGTGGTATATTTAGACTCTTCTCAAACTAGTATCAATTTTTTTTTGTCGCAAATCTTAGATTTGAATTTTCTTTTCTAATTCTAGATAGGCCCTTTTTTGTTAGTAATGAATTGGATTGCCACCCTCCCACCTTTGAACGGGTTTCAATATTAAATACTGGATGAGCATTGTAGTAGTCTTAGTTACCTTCTTTGAGAAACTTTAACGGTTACATAGATAAAGATAATTTTCGCCTGTATTTTGCGGAATGTAAGTTTGATTTCATTTGTTTACCTGAATCATAAATAAACTATTAACTGTTAATGGCAAAAATACTCTTTAAATTTTCCTACAAAGCTTGGGATTCTTTAGTATCTAGTGAGAATATTTTTTAGAAAACAGTATTTAAAACCTAAAGCAAGAAGGGTTCAATTTTTTTACACTCTTTAGACCTTTGAAGTGTTGACAAGAGGGAAAAAGTCTTGTCAATAAATAGAATATTAGATGTCGGTCGAGAGAATTAATATTTTAGAATAACGTCTTTTATTCAATATTTTTAAATTAATAAAATTAACTGATAAATTTATAATATATCATCTCTTTTTATATCCAAGGTAAATCAATCATGTAAAAATATATCATCAAAAATAACGTTATCCAATTTAGAAAATATAATATATCAAACGATCGCCTTAAACCTTCATTATCTAAAATGAAAAAGTATATTAATACAATACGAATATATCGTTAAAAGGAATATATGTAAAATGCAATGCAACACTTCCAAAAAAAATAAAAGTAAAATATAATTAAGTATCTGGGGAAAAAATGGAAATGGAAATTATTTTGAGAGACAATCATAAAAACTGAGGAAAGTAGGTGATAATTGTTGTGATTGCATTATTTCGATTTGCTTATAAATATGAATATTTATGAAAAATAATTTTTTTTATATAAAATTGAATATGAATATGTATATTGTTAATAAGACGAGTATTATATTATGAGTTTTAAAGTTATTTGGTTTTGTTTGATACAAATTTTTGATAATGATGTAAAGTTCATTATAATGAGACGAAATTTTATGTTATAATCGGATGATGTTAATTAAAAAACAATTTTTATAATTTAAAGCACTTCCACTTTTTTAATTTTTTTTACTTTCACTTAATTTTTCGCATATATTTTTAGTATTTTATACTTTTTCTTTTTTTTTTGGTTATGTTTTCCCTTTATATTAATTATATAATTTTTAATTATTTTTGGTATTAGTATTTAATAAAGGATTCAAAACTATAATTTTAGTATATATTTTTATTTTATTTTTTTAGGTTCCAACTTCCTTGATATGACAGTTCTTTCTAACTATAACAATAATAACAAGATTTAGACATTTGTATTACGGGGTATGTATGATACATATGTTATATAAAATTGAGAAGATATTTGGGAGAAATAGTTAAATAACAATAATTAGTATACAAACAAATCAGATAAAATAGGAGGGGAGTGGGGAGGGGGCAGACTAGAAATATATTTTAGTTTTTTTTTATAATTATACCCTTGACTGAGACATATATAAGAAGGATATAATTTACACTATAATTGTACTAGTAATTATCCATAATAGTTCTTTCGTAATTATATAAAAATTACACTATATGGTTAATGGGGATGACCAACCTAAAAATAGAATATAGCTTTTTTTTCGTAGTTATACCCTTGATTTAGACATTTATAAGAAAGGTGTAAATTACACTATATTAATTAGAAAAATATAATAATGATAACCAATACTGGTTTTAAATTTAATTATTATATTACCACATTCCAGTCATGTATTACTTTAAATACTAATCATTATTATAAAAAAAATTTAATTTAAATGTTAAACAAAAAAATAATTTTTTGATTATAAAAAAATTTTGATTATAAAATTAAGGAGGAACAAATAAAAACTATTTTTTTTTAAATATCGAGAATAATGAATATTTATTTTCACAACATCTTCAGACCCATACCAAACGCACAAAGATTGTATCCAATCTCTTGACAACGTATCTTCATCTTCAGACCCATACTAGGCGCGCATAGGTTGACAGTCTCCGCACCAGCTTCCAATAAGCTGGTTCCCCTATCCTCCACCATGTTGACAAGAGGTTTTTTATTTAATTTTTATAAATAGAGGAAAATATGTATTGGGACGAAATATATATTGAACTTTATATATATATCGGAAAAAAAACTATATTGTATTGCTAGTTTGCCTCTATCCTCCACCAGGTTGACAAGAGGGGAAAAGTCTTGTCAATAAATAGAATATTAGATGTCGGTCTTGAGAGAATTAATATTTTAGAATAACTTCTTTTATTAAATATTTTTAAATTGATAAAATTAACTGATAAATTTATAATATATGATCTCTTTTTATATCCAAGGTAAATCAATCATTTAAAAATGTATATCATCAAAATTAATGTTATCCAATTTACAAAATATAAATATCAAACGATTGCCTTAAACCATCGTCATCTAAAATGGAAAAGTATATTAATACAATACGAATATATCGTTAAAAACAATATATAGTTACTAACATGTATTATGAAGTATATATTTATGATAAAGATTTAAGTAGTAAGAGTTAGACAGACCTTTTAAAAGTGGATCTGGGTGAAGATTGTGGAAAATATTAATATTAAATTATAGTAGTTAAAGATAAATTTAGATTTCATATTATTTATTGACAAAAAACATAAATAAAGGATCAGATTTTAAAATATTATTCTTGACATTGAATAAAAATATTAATATAACTCGACTTTTACAAAACTACCAATGACCACCCCTTAAATAAAATAACCCCTCCCCTCCCAACAAATATACATATCCCCCACCACCTAATATAGAAAAAAATTGAATAACATAACCTTCCTACCTCCTAATATACCCTATTTTATCCTAATTTCTATCCTCTTATATTATCTTAATGACGATCTTGCTTTATGTCATACCCCCGCCTTGGTAGAAAGGCTTGAGACAAGATAAATTCCTAAATCATGCACAAAAAATCGAAATCAAAATTTTCCCTTTCTAGTTGCAATAGAATTATGAGTGTCCCAAATATAACAATGAAAGATATCTCTAAATTAACTAACCATATACATAACTGGAGGGGGGCAAGATAAATCACACCCTCCCTTTATTTCCCTTAAACTGCCCCCTCCCTCACGCTCCCCTTACAGTGTATCATTATAAACAAAATTTAAATATATAAATAAGCAAATGTTAATAAATTTTTTAAGTAATTGAAGCCATCCCCAGTTCCAATCTTGGCCTCCTCTTAACTAGAGAACAGCTACGCATTTCCTTAGCCCTCCGCATTGGCTGTAACGCCGTGGTTCCCTCCATTTGCATCGACTATGGCCATCCCATCGAATCAAAATCTTACCATCTTTTGCACTGCAAGTTCTCTCATGGACGACAACCTCGTCATAAATCCCTAGCTGCTCTTAAAACAGTTAATATTCCATCCACCCTCGAATCAGTGGGCCTCTCAAATGAAAACGCCATACGCCCCGATGGCATATCTTTCATTCCCTGGACTAATGGTCTCCCCCTAGCTTGGGACTAAACCTGTATCGATTTTGCTGCCAAGTCCAACTTCTCATTTTCTGCCATCGAAAAGGCCGAAATCCTAAAAAAAACAAATATGCTTGCCTCGCTAATACCGTGTTTATCCCAATCGTTACCAATACCCTAGGCATGTTCGGAAGTGATGCTCTCAATTTCATCAAAACTATAGGAAAATAAATGAGGCAGATCCCAGGGGACCCCAATGAAGGATTTTGCCTTCGCCAGCAGATTTCCCGGTCCAATTTCTTAAGCATTGACTCTTCTCTAGGGTAATTTGTGTTGTAAATGTTAGATTTAATTTGCATAAAGATTTCTTTTGGATTTTGTTGTACTTTATATTTAATGATTATAACGCGTGATAAAAATATTATATTTGAATAGTTATGAATATTAGTTTTAAGAAGATTGAAAAGAGTATAAAAAGGCCAATTTTTACCATACAAAAAGATCTTTCATAATTATTAACTCATTGTGACAATGGTGTTGGAGAGCGGAGGAGACCGGCCCTTTACAACTTTCAGTCTAATGCAAATCGTGTCAAACTGTATTCTAATACAAAAAAAAAATTCCAGAAGAACATAAGAAAAATATGTAAATAAAGATGAAAAGGAAAAATTATGTTGTTAAGATTATGTTTATGTAGAATATAAAATCTAAAATTAAAAACAAAGAATTATATAGGTAACATTCATAGTAGATATGATATAAAGAAGTTTGTGTTTAGTTATTTAAAGGTGATAATTAGGAATTTTATATTTA